CCTTTGAAAGACCCCCTTGGGAAGGTGTGCACCAACAAGAGTGCCTGGTCTACCTTCAAAGCACTTTTGGAACTTTTTTCTGGAATAACTATCAGAACTGTCATCGTATTACTCCTGATGTCCGGAGTCTCATCAAAATGTCTTCCTTCAGTATTTCTTTTATCTTTGTGTAAAGAAAAAAGTCACTGGGGGCCAGATCAAGTGAGGAGGGAGGGTGTTCCAATCCAGTTATTTGTTCTGGCTAAACACTTGCCCCCCCACCCCACAGTGCCGTGAGCTGGTGTATTGTTGTGAAGCAAGAGCCATGAGCTGTGGGCAAAACGTTCAGGTGGTTTCCATTTTTCATGCAGCCTTTTCAGTACGTCCAAATAGTACATGTGGTTAACTGTTTGTCCAGTTGGTACAAATTCATGAGTAATCCCTCTCTTACCATAACAGGTTACCAACATCCTTTTGACTCTTGATTTGCTGACAGACTTTTTTTGTTACTGAGAATTGGCTGACTTCCACGGGGCACTTGCATGCTGTTTCAGGATCGTACTGGTACACCCATGTTTCATCACCAGGAATAATATGGCCTGAATCATCGCCTTGCCTTCCCAAAGTCTTGGCAATCTTCTACCCTCCTTTGCTCTTGTTCATTGGTGAGCAACTTTCGGGCCATTTTTGCACACACTTTTCTCATGCTGAGATTTTCAGTTAAGTGTTTTCTAGTTTCTCTGCTGATGTTTACTTGGTCTACTGTGCGTCTTAGTCAGCCGACAATTTTGATGCACAATTTGACAACTTCTTGCAATGTTTTCATCAGTTCTGTTCATTACTGACCTCTCTTGCTCAGTGTTGCTTTCTCTCCCCTCAGAAAAATATTTAAATCCATTTGTACGCAGATGTTTTCTTCATGGGATTGTCCCCATAAACTTGGACTGACATGGTCCTGATTTCACTTTCACCGTTGCCAAGTTTAACAAGAAATTTACAAGTGTTTGTTGCTCTAATTCAAGCTCCAACATTCTTGCAACAACACACAGAAACCTGTAACGATCGTGACCACCACTCAGGAAGACACGGTCACGTGACATGAACACAGCTGTGAGATGCTGACACACCAGTTAGGAAACCTTATGGAGCCAGCATACATGCACGGTGGCAAATTTGCAAACTTGATTGTTAGACCTCATATTACTCTCCACCAGGGTACAGACAAAGAACATAGAAGCTGCTGGTAGAGAACATGTGTGTTGTGACTAGGATGCTCTTAGCATAGGTTCTGAAATGATCTGTGCACATCTGATTCAATATTTCTTTCATAATTTCAAAAGATAAAGAACCATACTTTTGAGTTAGGATATGAGACTTCCTGGGTAGCAGGGATTGTATGCACTATTATGATAGTCTGATACTGTGGGATGAGGAATTTTTTTGGTAACAGATTAATAAGTAATTTCAGAACTTTGTAATTAACCTCTATAATCTTCAATCACACTATAATATTAGAGAACAGAAGTTTCTGCACATAATTCTTTATTTGATGGTTTTAGTATATTTTTACCGATTCAACTCTTACTTTTCATCAATTAGGGATACTTAGAATGTACCAGGCTTCATGCAGGGTAGTAGAGATTCACAGATGTATAAATACTACTCAGAATCAAGGAGCTTAGCATCTAATGAAGGAGATACATGTCAATAAATAAAATTTAACTCATATAAAGTGACAAGGTAAATACTAAGAGAAATTTTGCCAAGTTACTGCTATTAGCGGGGCACTACTGCTTTTATACAGAAAGCATTAGAAACAGAAAGTATATAAACATTGCACAGTAGACAAATCCAAATGCCCTTCTTCTTCTCTGAGTGTCTCCCATTCCACAATACAAACAACAGCCCAGGGGTCAAAAACATGAAACAATTCCCCGAGTACCATCAAAACAGGTGATCAATAAGGTTCTGAGCACATCGAGCCTATGCCCTCACACGGCCTCTTCTCTGTACAGGCAGTGCGACTCTGCTACAGGCTACCTCTTGCTGTTCGCATACGGACACTAGTCCTGTAGGATTAAGGCTCCACCTCTATTACCTCATTTAACTTTAACTGCCTCCCTAAAGGTGGTATGCCCAAATTCAGTCACATTGGAGGTTATTGTTGCAAATTCTGAATTTTGAAGGGACACAATTCTAGTCCATAACACCTCCCACCTATGCAATCTCACATTTGTAACTCCTGGTCTCTGTGGGCTATCTGCACGGCAACACTAAATTACCTGACTTCCCTGAAATTTCCCTACTTTTTTCTTTCCACCCAGGGTGTTGCTCATACTTTTCTCTCTGCTCACTTCTCCTTGCTTCTTTGCTTGGCAAACCTTCAGCTCAACCTCTTCAGGGAGGCCTTCTCTGACTTATCACATTATATTTTTGATAGTAAGTGCTCAATAAACAGTAATTTTGAACATATGAATCACTTAATATTTTATAAGATCTCCCGATATTGCTGAACTCTCAAGTTAGTTCTCTGTGAAGTTACATTCACAGAATACTGCTGTGCAATCATCTCTTTCCCCCACACTTGGTATCTGAAGAGACAGGGACTCTTGTCTCAGACTTATCAGATAGAAATTTAATTAAGAAAATATATAATAACATTGTTAATTGTATATCGAAGTCCACAGCCCAATCTGATTTAGTGAAGGCTATCTAATTAGAAAAACCAGTAATGTTATTTAAATAAAAAGGGAAAAATAGGCACATCCAAGAAAACCAGGACTCCCTAAGATGCAAGACATCCTCTCCAACATAATATAGGCTATTAATCCATTGCACGATTATGTGTCCCAGATTTATTTCAAGCCACAGTCCAATGTGTGTCCCAAATACTGAAGGTGCAATGACATTTTCAAGTTCATGCCCTCTGTTTACAGTCTAGCTATCACAGTTAATTGGAACTTACAGGTCAGGTAATAGAAAAATCTAGTTGCTACACCTCCCACTTATCATAGAAACTGTCCAGTGACCCTGATTCCCCGGAACTCATGTGACATCTCACTCTACTCACAGTAATGTGACTGATAATCGATCACGTGGATGATGTTTCTTATGGTCTGAAATAGGCAGTCTGAGCTTAGAAATAAATATTAGCTGTGAAACTTAGGCAAATTTATTAGGTTGGGGTTCAGTTTCCTCATCTGTAAAACAAAACAAGGGTGATTGAACCCACCTTTTCGGACCACTGACAGAATTAAATGAATTAATATATATTAAATACTCAGTAAGCACTTAAATGCCAGCAATTATATTCACTATTATTAAAGTATTGCTTACTTGGAGGTAGTCCTACTTATGTATAAGCTTGCAGTCACATGATTTCACATAGACATCAAAAATTATAATTAACCAGGCAAGAGGATCTCCATCCGAAAGATGTCTTAAATTTCTGTGATCTCTTTGAAGAACAGAACTTTTCTGATGGAGGTTTGTTGGGCCAGATTAGAGGATCTAATCCAATTGCTCTGGTATACAAAACAAGTAAAGTTAAAAAAAACAGAGGAGGTTAAAGAGAAGCAGATAACCAAAACCTTGCAACTCCATCAGCAATTCTTTCAGAGTTGAAAGTATTTGTAAGAATGCTATTAGAGTGTATGATTCTTTAGAATAAAACAGTGTACCTTTTTTGTTGTTTGTCAAGAGACAGGGTCTCTAACACGTAGGTTGGAGTACAGTGGTGTGACCTCTGCTCAGTGCAACTTCCAACTCTGTGACTCAAGTGATCCTCTTGGCTCTACCGCTCACGTAGCTCTGACAGGTGCATGCCACCATGCCCAGCCAATATTTAAATTTTTTTGTTGAGATGGGATCTTTTTGTGTTGGCCAGGCTGGTCTCAAACTCCAGGCCTCAAGTGATCCTCTCATCTCAGCCTCCGAAAGTACTGATATTACAGGCCTGAGCCATTACACCCAGCCAAGCATACAAACTCTTAAATGCTTACACAGAAATCTCAGATTTTTAGAAGTACAAGTTGTACGTAAATTCTATGAACACCCAAGGATATTACTTTCTGAGACCCGTAACTGGAGTCTTTTTCTTGGTGTTAATTTGCGCCTGTAAAGTTCCTTGGCTGTGCTAACTATGGGAACTTTTCTTGGCTTGTAGCTCCAGTTCAGCAGTGATTTGGTGAGATATCTGTGGCAATCACTGTAAATAGAACTCTATCTTATTTTTTCTTCCCTCCTGTCACACTGACAAAACACTGTTATTAGTTTTACTTGGGATGGTCAAAGGAACATGGGAACATTGTACTTCAACCTAAATGCCTGGAGACTGGCAACTTTCCTTGTAACAAATGACTACTCATTCCTTCCTGGTGTTCAGGCTAAAGACCTGGGAGTCAACCGTAACTCTTCCTGTGTTCATACCTCATATCCAGTTTACAGAAATCCCTGGGCTCTACTTGAAAGAAGACCCAGAAACCAATTACTTATTATCTCTGAGGTTACCCCAGTCTAAGTCATCATAACATCGCTCCTGCATTAATGGAATGGTATCTTATTGCTTTCACTGCCATGTAAGTCTTTAACTCAGGGTGGTTTTGAGCCCAGGGCCTTGTGAGGCATATACAGTTCATGTTGCTACCTTGGGAACTGTGTAATAAAACAGTGGCCCCAAGGAAAAATGCTTGCTTTTTCTAGCATGGCAGTCAGTGTGCTTGCTACCTGGTTTCCCAGCTTCTAACCTTACCCTCCCTTTGGTCTAGTCTCCACAGAGTCCTCAATATAATCCATTTAAAAGGTAAGTCACATCAGGCTACTCTTCTGCCCAAAACCTGTCTGTATTTACATATACTATTTTCTATTAAGGCTGTCTATTTCCTCCCAATTACAATGTAAACACTGCGAGGCAGGGATCTTTTTCTTGTTTTCTGCCATTTCCTCTTGCAAAGAACAATACGAGGCACATAGTTGTCCAATAAATACATGTTAAATGAATAGATGAAAACTGCTCATCCTAGTGTTACATCAGAAAATGTCTCCTAATTTTATCATCAAATTTTATATGAAAAAATACAAATAAAAAGTTAAAAAACATTACATCGTTCAGTCACCTTCATGCAAGAAAGCATTTTTAAGCACTGGGCCACAAAGACAATGGAGATTTCCTGATATTTGGGAAATAAATTATTAACAATCTGCACATAGCATTAGTATCAACAACAGTGAACATTTATGGAATGCTACCTCGTGCTAAGCACTCCACGTACTGCATCTCATTTAGTTCTCATTAACAATCTCTGAGGTGGCTAATGGTGCCAGGTTCTGCAGGGAAGGGCTGTTACACCACGTAGCCCACTGTCAGTGGACTCCATGGCTTCCCTATTGTCTCCTCCTCTTTATGTCCTCTCCTAGTTGGGAGCCAACAGGCAGGATAGGAAATAGGAGGTGACGAGCTTGCTATTTACTGTCCAGACATTAAGGTTTGGATTAAAGTGTGCTGATCTATACCTACCTCTTCTAACATTAAAGCTCATCCTAGCCAGTTTTCTAAAATGTTCTAGACAGCCACTGTTTCCATGTGCCAATTGTGAACCCTACAAATGTTCACGTATCTTGTAAAAGATATGAAAATGTTTTCACGAGGGTTGTTTTTTTGTGATAATTTAGAACAGTTCATTCAGCCTGCATATTCATTCTACCAAACCCTGTACAATAGCATTACATTTATACAGAGAAAAATTTACACATAGGAGTTAGTGATTCAGTTTTTTTCCAAAAAGGATGCTAGACTAGGTGTCAATAAACTATTCTTCAAGGGCCAGCTAGTAAATAGCTTAGATTTGCAAGTCTAATTACTCAATAGTTGTGGAAAGCAGCTATAGGCAAAACATAGATGAATGGGTATGGTTTTGTTCCCGTAAAACTTTATTTTTACAATAGGTGGCCAGCTATGGGCCATGGCTTGCTGACTGTAGTTAGAAGATTTCAATCTTAGTGGCCTGAATGAAATGGACCAGGTACATTAATTAAGTTACAGGTAATATCAAATTTTCCTTATTAAAAAAAAAAAACCTTTTTTACTATACAGAAACATCCATATTCTTGTAGCTAAAAATAATGACTTAAAAAAAATGACAGTTTAGCATGCAAATCAAGACAGATATTTGGCTCTGTATTAAGCTGAACTAGTAAAAAGAAATCTTTGTAATTTATTTTGCACACAGCACAAATGCAGGCGACACAGTAAGTACTTTATTCCCCACAGAACTGAAAAACATAAAACCTGGGAATCTCAAGTCTTATAATCTTCTGCATCATTCACAGCTATGTACGCTGTGGCATCTGCCACAGGAGTCAGGAAAACCTTAACTTAAAGCACCAAGTTTCTAGGCATTACTATAAGTATCTTCACATTGTCTAATACATGCAGTCAAACTGCCTATGAAGCAAATACCAATTCACCTTAAACTTCAATGGATAAGGGAAAGCAGGGGAACCAACAATTTTAAGTCTCAAAGTGATCCTACTTCTTTACCTTATTGCATTTTCTTCCACAAAATCTTAAACTTTTAATGCAGTTATGTTTAATATGAAATACACTGAATTTTGAACATGCCTTTCAGATTCATCTAATGGTTTAGGATGTTTCTGTATGTTTTACGTCTTGAAAAAACAAAAACATATCTCTAATCTAGAATATTCTGGCAATCTTTATTAGAAGTTAAATTTAGAATTTTAAAGCAAAGTAGTATGGTCTGTTCATCCAAACACTATAGATTAAAAAAAAAAAATTCCCCTAATTAAGATACAAAGCTTATTCCCAATGTATACTTTATAGAGGTATGTTTTCATTTTTTGAAGTAGGGTTCAATGGGCACTTTAAAGGTCTTGCTACCATCAGCTCTATATCTCCAGACATGACTGGATCCACCAATGCACGATGAAAACTGGTTGAGGCTGATGATGAACGCTTCATTAGGAATCTGATATATACAGGCTGCACTGTCATTTTCAGGACAACTGCAGTCTTCCTTAAAACTCATCGTGATAGGCAAAGGGACTATTAGTTTCTTACGCCAAAAATACATGAAACTTCTTGTTGTACAAAGGCTTCATTCTCTCCCTGTTGTCAGTAACTTGAGGGCCTTTTGCAGATTCTGTACAGCAGTGCTTACATCCTCATACTGCAAAGCACTGCCGGCATATTTGCAGTATTTCTGAGCTCTAGCAAAGTCCTCTGGGGTCAGACGGATATCCCCTAGAAGAAAAATAATTAAGATACTTATAAGAATATAAAATGTATTTTGTTAGGTGAGGTAAATTCTTATTGTTAAAACTAAAGAAGATATTTAAGGTAATGTAAAAACACAAAGGTATTTTTCATTCTCATATAAACTTTGATAAATTTTCCTTATTCTTTTCAATTTTTTCATTACTAATATAAACCATAGATATGCCAATACATAATAACTTATACAAATAATAATTCCTTCAAGAAGCAATAAGTTAGGAATCTTTATATTTTAGCAAATTAATTGCAAAAAATTTAAGAGTTTATGTGAAACAGGGAGACAGGAGCGCTGGTGTTTTTGTTAGAATCAGCGAGCCTCTCTCTTCATGGAACAATACACACAGACTAAATCATTCAACCCTCAGTTGAGCTGGAACATAAATATATCTCTCAATGAAAAAATAGGCAAATAACAAATGTTACATTAAAAAGTTACATGTTACTTAATTTTTTTAGCATAAAAATGTTTGTGTCATCCATGTAAAAAATTCTTAAGCTTTACCAAAATTTTATATCAATATATACCCAATTAAATATGTAAACAACCATTACAAATTATTTCTTCAAAATTTATTCTCACCAAGTTTCCTAGTCATATACACGATTAATATGTAAAAAGCACACTAAAAACATTTCATTTAATCTGAGATAGGAATATCCTTAAATATATATTTTTAAAGACAAAATTAAAAACTGACATTGTATCTTGTCTTTTGAAATAATCATCAACTTCTACGGCAATTTTTATGAGGATTCTAAGGTACACTGATAAGAGGCAGGGATACAATGTACAATGAGCAGATAATATAGAGGACATATTTCAATTTTATTTATCAATAGAATGACTTTAGTTGCTTTTAATTTTGCCATATATGTTTGTGTGTGTGTTTACACAGCATAAAATTAAAACTTTGACATTACCTGGGTAAAGACTTCAAAATAGGGAGGAACTGCATTTAAGGTGATACTAAATTCTGATCCAATTATTATTTACTAAAATTTTCAGAAGGAATACAGAAGTAATGTATTCTAAATTCTAGCTTAGTGCTCAATAACATTAACGAATGAATATGAAAAGGCAGCCTGTACTTCAATACTTACAAGTCTTCAAATATTTGTTGAGTTAGTATTATTTAAGGTTACATAAAATTTGGTCCTTATTATTGTGAGTCAGAGATCACATATTGCAATCTTAACAGATATTAAATTTCCTTAAATTTTAGTCTTACTTCAAAAGTAAGCAGTATTAATAAACTAGTGGATTATAATTAGGTATCAGAAAAACCCCAACAGTTTCTCCACAAGTCTACTTTTACAATTTTAGTGACTTGGCATTTGCTATCCATTAAACCTGAAAAACAACTACCTTGCAGTTTTACTGACAATTCTGTCAGGCACACTACAGTTCATATTTTTCCCTTGAAAAATACCCACCAGATTTAATGGTGTTTCAAAATATATTTAGAGGCTCTAGTCGCCTAGATACACATACTATCTAGTGAGACACCTTGAAAACTAAGTTTACCGTAAAGTACTGCTTATTTTGTGTGTTAATATTCTATCTGCCTATCTTTAAATTGCCTATCTATAATCTTTTAAATATACAAGGCATCCGTCCAGAATTTAGTGGACTTTCTGGGAGAAAGCCGTAATGCTCAGACTTATCTTATTTTTACAGCATTAGCTTTAGCACTGTTCGGTTGACATATCACTTATCTATTAATAAGATAAAATGTGTAATACGGCAAGAACTTTGTTACTATTTTAGTTTTTATAAATTAAACTTATCTACAATGATAAGACTATTTTAAAATATAAACACAATTTTTTCATGAAATAACAATTTCAGTATTTATAAGTTCATAAAAATTTTATGAATGAAAATATTTTGATGGGAAAATAATTAGATATGTAACATTTATAGTCATCTATAACAAACTAACTCATACATACAATGACTAAATAACAATTAATTTTCAGATTTAGATCCATAATGTGATTTATGCACACAAAGAGATGTTAGATTTTATTTTTGACAATTAAAGACTATAAGCTTAAACAGCCATGTTAGTTACTTTTGCTATTTTGTAACAGATCAGGCTCTCCTTTAGTTTAAAAATACAGTAATTTACAAATCATTAATAAAACATGATTTAAAAATTTAAATTTAACAAAAATAAAATCTGTCATCTAATATATTTCTTTAAAATTAGCACTTAGGCTATGTGTGGTGGCATGCCTGTAATTCTAGCACTCTAGTGGTGGATTGCCTGAACTCACGGGTTCGAGACCAGCCTGAGCCAGAGTGAGACCTCATCTCTAAAAATAGCCAGGTGTGGCAGGCGCCTGCAGTCCCAGCTACTTGGGACTAAAAAAAAAAAAAAAAAAATCACCAAAAAAATTAGCGCTTAAAAACTCAATAGAGAAAATCCCTAAAACATAAGGAAAAACCACTTTTCAGGAAAAGAACTGTTAAATATCAGTTTATTTGATTTTATACTAAAAATGGTTCATGTAATCTTAATTAAATTAATTAATTAATTTTTTTGAGACATAGTCTCACTTGGTAGCCCCTGGTAGAGTGCCCTGGTGCCTGGCTCACCTCAAACACTTGGGCTCAAGTGATTCTCTTGTCTTAGCCTCCCAAGTAGCTGGGACTACAGGCACCAGTCACAATACCCAGCTATTTTTAGAGATGGGGTCTTACTCTGGCTCAGGCTGGCCTTCAACCTGTGAGCTCAGGCAATTTGCCCACTTGGCCTCCCAAGTGCTGGGATTACATGTGTGAGCTGCTCTGCCCAGCCTAATAATCTTAATGCACCAAGATAAAAGCTGTTTTTTTCTATCATTGAAATCTACTAGAAGCCATAATCAGAACCAGAAGTACGTTAGGCGTATGAAAGGTGTGTAAAGGATTTGAGAACTTGTCTAATACATCCTTCTTCTGAATGCTGTGGTTATAAGTTCCAGATGGGCTGTGGATACAAACATCTTTACAAGAGGGCTTCTCCCTTCAGAGGTCAGGAAAAAACAGGCAAAAGAGAGCTACCACTATCACCCAAATTCTCTACTGTAGTGGCAAAGAGAGCCCAGGGCAGCACTGGATCATAGAAAAATCACTGCATGCTCACTTGACATAAGCATCCATTTCCAAGGTTAATTTATTCTGATGTCATGACAGAGGACAGAACATTTAATGGAGACTATTTCCAAAACTGATCCCTCTTTCCAACTACATAATTAAGGAAATTCACATTATTGAGAGCTTTGAATAATCTCATTTGGGTGTTATCTATTATCTCCTGCCTGGAATAGAGTTAGAGAACCATCCAACCTGCAGTTAATCTTGGAGGAAATATGCAACCCAGTACTGAACCCCTGTATATAGGTGTTGCCACGATATGTCCCTTAACAACTGCAACAGCAGTAGTAATGAATACAGGCACAATCGCACTATGTTAGGCACTGCCCTGAACACTTTTCAGATACTACTCCATTTAATACTCAAAAACTTTGTGAGGCTGTTACTCATACCCTCTTACTATTTAGAGCAGTGGTTCTCAACCTTCCTAATACTGCAACCCTTTAATACAGTTCCTCATGTTGTGGTGACTCCAACCATAAAATTATTTTTGTTGCTACTTCCTAACTGTAATTTTGCTACTGTTATGAATCATAATGGAAATATCTGAAATGCAGGAGACCCCAAAGGGGCTGCGACCCACAGGCTGAGAACTGCTGATGTAGAGGAACACAAGGTAAAAGAGTAAAACTGTGCTCCAAGTACCTACCTCTCCAATTCCACTGTCCTCTCCAGAGGCAGCCACAAATTCATTAGCAACTATTTCATATACATTAGTATTAACACATTTATTAATATAAAGCATGTAATATGTATATCAAAAGGTGATTAAGTACCAAGCACTGGGGAGAAATATGTAGCAGAAAAGGGGGTCAGGAAGTACTAGAGATGGTGGTGATGACAGTGACACTAATTATAATCAACTTTTTTTTGTTCAGATACTTTATTTTTTTTTAAGTACTTTTAAGTTCATTGCAACATTTAGAGAAAAGTATAGAGATTTATCTATCTCCCTCCACACACGCTTAGCCCCCTTCATTATCAACATCACCTACCAGTGGCACGTTTGTTACAAGGGCAGAACCTGTACTGCCGTATGATTATGACCCAGGGCCTATGTTAAGGTTTACTCTTGGTGTTGTGCATTCAATGATTTTGGACAAATTTACAATGACATGTTTCCATGATTGTGTGTCAGAGGAGAGATTCAATGCCCTAAAAGTGCAGGATGCACTCGCTATCCCTCCCACCCTCACTCTGCTCAACTACTGATCCTTTTTTTTTTTTTATTAAATGATAGCTGTGTACATTAATGCAACCATGGGGTACAGTGTGGTGTTTTCATATACAATATGAAATATTTTCATCCAACTGGTTAACATAGCCTTTATGTCATTTTCTTAGTTATTGTGTTAAGACGTTTATATTCTACTTTTAGAACTACTGATCTTTTGATTCCATAGTTTTGCCTTTTGCAGAACGTCACAGAGTTGGAATTGTTATCACTAGTCCTTCTGGCTTGGCTTCTTTCAGTTAGTAACGTGCACTTAAGTTCCCTCTATGTCTCTTCGTGGCTTGATAGCTCATTTCCTTTTAGCACTGAGTAACTTCCCATTGTTTGGATGTAATGCAGTTTATTTATTCATTCACCTATTGAAGGACATCTTGCTTGCTTCCAAGTTCTGGTAATTGCTGTAGGGTTCCTTTTGTAGACATAGGTTTTTAATGTCTTTGGATAAATACCAAGGAGGACAGTTGTTGGATTACTGGGTAAGAGTACGTTTAGTTTTGTGAGAAACTGCCAGACTGTCTTCCAAAGTAGCTGTGCCAGTCATAAATGAGAATTCTCATCGTTCCATATTCTTACCAGGATTTGGTGTTGTCA